AAAAGTGATTATAGGCTTTGAAGGATGCGATTCCTGCTCCTATGGTTGATAGCATCTTAAAAAGGTTCACTTGTAATTAATTCTATTCTTCATTCAATATGTAAACTGGGTTCACAAAATTATTGCTAAGCAAATAATGGGCTACCAAGTTGTATGAATGTAGCCACAGTGAGGCTGCTAATTCTTTTAGTTGTCCACGTATTAAGTCACAGTATCAATCTCTATGGATTACATATATATCATAAAAAATTAGGGTGAGAGCCTTAAATTCTGGAATTATTTGGATGGTCGTCATTATTATGGAGTTGACCTCCTTACATTTTATAAAATGATAGAAATTCACCAATATTGATCAAAACCATTGTGAGTATCATTTTGCTTCCCTTTTGCAACAAACAGTGAAAGAGGATAAGAATATTCAGTTGCAGGCCCTATGTCATAAACATCTTCAGAAGAATGAAGGTGGTTTATCTAATAGTCCAGCATTTCAAAGCCTAGTTTCTCACAGAGAGTATAACAACATCCAGTCTGTACTGTGCAGACCATAAGTAGGAACAGACTTTTAATTTCAATTTTAAATAATTGAATCTTGTACATAAATTGCTAGCATGTTGGGAAAGGCAGCTTAGCCTGGATTTCTTGTTAGCAAAATGTTCAAATTATTATGGAGGGTGGGATAAGTTTGTGAATTTTAGATCTACCTCTCCACACATGGACCTCTCACAAAGATGAGTTCACAACTTTGAGGAGTTTTCCATGCGTATCTATGTATGCCAGTTGACTCTCCTCCCAGGGCCACTCAGGGATCTACCTCATGTGGAGGAGCCAAGGTCCTTTCCTCATAACAGCAAGTGAGATGCCAATAATGAACTAAGCCTGTTCTCAAATGTCTTTTAAAATGTTAATATTTATGTTTGTCTATGTACTAGAATATTTTTATGTGTTTATCCTGGAAAGATGCCTTACCTACAGTTTGAAGGGATACAGTCCATCTGTAGGTTTAATAGTTCAGAAAGAGTAGTTTGTTCAGATTAAAAAAAACAACTACATCAAATAAAATATTTTACTTCAACTTCAATATCTTGAAAGAGCTGATTTTTGATAAAGGCAGGGTGGATAGCCTTTTATCCTATAGTTTATGGGCTGCAGCATCAATCCCCTGACGTCCATATCTATACACTCTTCAATGAATGTCCAAAACTTAATGTCTAGGTGTGTGTGATTTGCTGTCAAGTAATAGATTATTTTATTTTTTTTCAAACTTTAAAGATCTCATACAAATGCCTACTTTTACTTTTCTTTTACTTCTTTATTTAAATTTTTTTATAACCATTTCCAACCATCTCCAAAGTGGTGCACAATATTAAAAATAGATTTGAGTATGAGGAATGAAACTCGCAAGAGAATGTAAGCGCACAGTACCGTTAGGATAAAATGTTTTCACCATGAATTGTAATAAACAAGATTTAAGCCAACATTTAGGACAGGAACCACAATACTTTAGCAAAGCAACTATTTTTGTGATGACCCCTATAGAATTATAACTATACACTTAGAATCTGACTTTTCCATATTAATCCACTACTAAGCATGATATATGCTCAGTAGTAGCTATCTGTGAACAAGCCATTTATCATGGGTGTTTATTTTGCACTAGTGATAGCTGCAGGATTTTGGCATAGCTTCAAGGTTTCTGTACAACTATATAGAATGACCTAAGTGTAAATCTGACAAATGCCAGTGTCTGATTTGAGGAGATATATATCAACAGCCACCATTTGTATACTCAGGCCAATACACATTTATGTTTAAACCAAGTAGGAAGCAATTGCGCAGTTGGTTTCTGCAGTTTGTCTTGTAGTTATCCAAGCTTTAGAAATATTAAATCTGACAGGTATTTTCATGCTACCACACATATAGACATGCATGCCAAGTAATCTGCCATTAGGGTGAAGGGATATTTATATTTGCTATAAATATGCATACAAAGCATACAAAATATTGTTTATGAGTGTATTGTTTACAAGCTTTCCACTTAGCTCCCTTTTCTTCTTTAATAGGACTGTTTTACAGTAGCAATAAATGTTGTAGCACCTTAAGCAGTACCCAGTGTAACGCAGCATACATTATTATCTGCTTTTACTCCATTTCCTTAAATGAAATGCTGCCCTTTTTAATAATTTACAAAATGGCAGTTACATTCAACCGATGAAACATAAGGATTTGGAAGCCTGGAAACACATCCTCCTGACTACAAGCTGAGGAAGCAGGTCCTGTAATTGGCAGGACAAGAAAGGGGAAGCTTATTTCTGCAGGATCTTGAGTGCTACAGTGGGAGACTACTTGCCTGGGTCATGGAATGGCATTCTGTATACAGTATAGTTGAGGTTGTTGGTCCTTGATTGAGCCCATCTGGGGTCTAAGGTGGGAAGCAGTGATGCCAGCATTCTTTCGCATTTGGCTGAGCAGGGACTTATAGTCAGTTCAGAAACATAGACACCTGATAGCATTCTCTCAGAGGCAGTTACTATCTGTCCTAGAACTATATTTAACTTTGTCAATATGCTTTCTTCCAGTCCTTGATAGGTAGAAAATCACATCAATATAAATTGCACTGACCTGGTGGTCAAGGCGTCTCTTACCTCAGGAATGAGGTAAGGAACTGGTGCTGTTTTGACATAGGGAATTAAAGGGCAAGGATTGGTAGATTTCACAACCTGCATTTCTTCTCTCATCAAGTATCATTCCATAGTCTTCGATTTATGACCGTTTGCTTGCTTTGCTACCATTCAAAGTTACAACAGACTCCCTTCCAAAAGGTACTTACTATCATTAGTACATTATCATTAATATACTCATTACTAGAAGTAGCTATTGGTAATTTTATGTTCCGTTTTTCCCATTTCTCTTCTATAGCTATTTATATAAGTGATCTGAATCTCCTACCACTTAGTTTCATTGGATTACTTTAGATTCCAGATTTTTTAGTGAGAAAAACTTTAATCAAATGTATCTTAGGGATATGATTCTTAAAGGCTAAAAGACAAGCAAGATGTCTATGGAAATTCTCAGTCATCCAGGCCATGGTTGTCCCAAAGGTACTTTTTGCAAGAGGCAATTGGACTTTCTGGTTTTTCTTTGAAGAAGTTTTGCTTCTTCTCAAGAGAGCTGAAGAAGCTTTTTGGATGAGAAGTGAAACGTCTTCAAAGAAAAACCAGAAAGTCCAGTTGCCTCTTGAAAAAAGCAACTTTAGGGACAAGCAAGAAGATATTCCCAAGAATAGGTGATTTTCCAAAATCTTGTTTTGATTCAAAAAGGTTGAGCTTTGTTTGTTGTTTGGAGGCTTAAGTTTTTAACAGCCTGTGAAACAACAGAAGCTGTAAGGAATGTTGGAAATCCAGAGAAACTACTCTGCTTATGAATTAAATAATGTATAGAAAATAATGGTTGGAGGTTTTTTTGCTAAGATCAATGCAAGGGATGAACATTTTGTTCATCCAGAAAGTGATCCTTTCTCTCTTTCCTTCTTTTCAAACTCACAGGCTGCTAAGTCGATTTCTTTTGCCAAGCTCTTTATTGTATGACAGCTTATTCAAGTTAATTTCTTCCAAATGTCCTTAAAACCTTTTGAATGAAAAAAAGGTTTACTTTTTGAATAAATATTTGACCTTTTACGCACAAAACTCGCCTCCTTTTTAAAATGTCCATGAACTCACTCATATTTGAATGTGTATATAAAAATGCTACAGTTTGGATTAGAGAACTGGGAGTTGCTATTATGGCCGTGGTCTCAGAAATATTTCTGTTTAGCTGATTTGTTAGATAAACAGAATGACTGGAAACTCACATTGTGCAATTAGGCAACTGTCCCATAGCCTTTGTCTTGACATATGCTTCTAAACCAGTAGCCTTATTTACCAGCTTTATTCCTGTAAAGTTCAATCTTTACTTTTTTAACTGAATGTAATGAAATTTATGTTACTATTTTATTTTTATTTATTACGTTTTATTTCATTGTTTACCAGTGAGGTAGACGTATATATCATAAAACAAATTAGCTTAATAAAAGTCTGGAATCTGAGAGTAGCTTTTAAACGAGTCAGTCATTGTGGCTCTACTTTATGAAAAATAATGATTTAATTTTCATATATTCTCCTACTAAAAATTAAATGTTTTAAGTATGCAGGATGGTTTAATTGTAGTCATTTAGTAAGCAATAACAGCTGAAGTTAAAGATGCAGTTCAATCTTAAACATGTGTACAGGTTCTTAATAGTGAGTAGTAGTAGCCCTCACCGGCACAATTTACTGAAGGTATATGCTCAGAAATACCCATTGTGTTTAGTGGTGCTCATTCTCTTGCGAGTATATTTAAGATGGCAGCTTTACCCATAGCTCCTGTCACTTGTTCCAGCTCCTGTGAATCCAGCAGTTCTAAAGCGGGCAACTGCGAGTACATAAATGTGTACCACTTTGGTAGGCAGCTTAATGGAGACATGAAAGGAACCCCCAATTGGGCATCCCCCAGGCAACTGTGATGTCAACTGGCTAATCTTTTCAACCTGGAAGCTACTACACAACTGTAGTAATTTACCCACAGCATAGAGACCTCTACTAGGGATTCGAACTGCTGACCTTTCTGATTGACACGCTCAGTGTCTTAGCCACTGAGCAACCTAGTCAGGAAGTTGAAGTCATATGTGGACTTCAACTTCCAGAATTCTCCAGGCAGCACAAGGATTGGGAAATTCTAAGAGTTGAACTCCACATTTCTTTAAAGTTTCCACGGTTGAGAAACACTGTAATAGATTATCAATAGACAAAGTCATATTTTATAAGGCTTTTCTTATACAATGGGCCCCACTAATAAAATTAGTGCTGCTTAAAATGAAGAAAATAAGGCATGTGATCTATTCTATAAAAGTTATGCTTTTGAAATCAGATGAAGTTATTAATGACAAAATGGATGTATTTCAGCAATCAGAAATGCCAATCACACAATTTTGAGGATTAAAAGAAATTTATTTTCAGGCACTTAATGAGTTAAAAGTCCTACTCCAGATTGTAGAGCATCTGATTGAACCAAAGGAAAGTATCTTCCTGGAGGAAATGCAGTTTGTTTTCTATATACAGTAAAACTAGTGCAATTTGGTGTATTCTCACATAATAATCAGCAGCCATGAGGAATAATAGTCTCTGTTAAAATATATTGTAGTCTGAAGTATTTTCTGCGAACATAATGCTAAATCATTTATTTTAAACTATATGCATGAACAGAAAGGATCCCATATGAAATATTAGACTTCTTCCTCTCTATTCTTTAAAGAGGAAGAATAAACCAGAATTTAATTTATTTTGCAGTAAATTCCTGGTTTGTTTAAATAAACTCGAATCAACATGGCAAACATGAATGTTCAGTTGTTTCTGCCTTGTTTACAAAGGACATTGAATGCCTAATCCTTATATAATGATGCAGCAGGAATCTGCTGAAGCAAATTGAATTTTGGTTTATTTCCTAGGCATATGGGGAAAAGAAGGCAGACTTTCCTCAATATAGAAGAGTGGAGCAAATACTTTTTTCCATTTTTGGAAAGGAGGCAGTGAATAAATTTTGGGTGGGTTTCGGGCATAAGGCAGACCTTCTGTAAGTCAAAAGTGGATGTTTTATTGGCTACATCTTTCTCATTGGCCAGAGGTTTCTCACCTCTGATTTAAAATGTCTTCTATTTGCATGTAACTGATATGTGAACTTAGAAGCAATATCATTTGCTTTAAGCATAAGACAGCAGCTTCTGCTTTTCTTTGATACTAATCCCTAGCAAAAGCAGTTGACAACAAGAGAAAGAATACAGATAGTCCTCAATTTACCTCTACTGCGCCTAACATTTTGGTTGTTAAGTGAGACATTTGTTAAGTATATTTTGCTCCATTTATGACCTTTTTTGCCCCAGTTAAGTGAATCACTGCAGTTGTTAAGCTAGTAATGCAGTTGTTAAGTGAATCTGGCTTCCCCATTGGCTTGTCAGAAGGTACCAAAAGGTGATCACATGACTGCAGGAGCCTGCAACCGTCATATATATGAATCAGTGGCCACATGTCTGAATTTTGATCACGTGACCATGGGGATGTTACAACAGTCATGTGAAAAATGGTCATATGTCACTTTTTTTCAGTAACTAAATGAACTGCTGTAAATCGAGGACTACCTGTATTGTCAATTCCAGACACAATGAAGGGGAACTGATTACTTTTTTTTGCCCAGAGACCCTCAATCATTCCAGGCTTCATAGTGCATCTACTTCTATAGCACTGGGTGCAGCTTAAACAATTTTGATTGTCAGTCCCCCAAATGGCATGGAAAAAAATATTTCTCCAATAAGAAATTCATCTAGAGCAGTGCAGTTCATTTAATTTTGGTGTTCCTTAAATTTACTTAACAGTGTGTGGTTCTGTGTCTTTATTCTCAGATCTCAAATGCTCAGTTGATAGTTCTGTCCAAAAAAGGGCAAAAACTTCTACCAGGAGACAGACTGAACCTATGGCACATTTCTTTAAAGTTTGGAAGCTGCACAATAAATTGTTGTTTACTTCCATTGACTGTAAAATGAAAGAATTCTTGTTATCCTTTGGAATATCTAGAAGAGTCAAACAAAATAGCTCAAGGCACAAAGTCCAAACTGATTTGACAGAAAGCAGTGCTGATGAGAGACATGAGATTATGAGCACTGTACTCATTTGAAACCCTAACTTGACCGCCTCTCACTTCTCCTTACGTAGCAATGCCCAAAGCTACACATTTCCATCATAATTTTTATGACATTTCCATGGCTGAATGAAAAAAAGCAGCATTGTGGCTATGAAATGGAAGAAGGCATCATTTCGTAATTTTGCTTTCCTAATTGACATTAACTTCAACATTTTGCCTATTGGTTCAAATATATCTTAAGAGTGGTTACTTCCCCTTCCATCACTATGCATACATCCCTCTTTCATTCCCCACATCTACTACAGTAAACAATTAGTGCATAAGCAACAGCATGTTCTGTGAAACATTTCATTGCATAGGTTGTATGAAACAGTTCAGGTTTTGTTTTTTTTTGTTCTGACTTTGGTTTTTCAGTATAGAATTATTTTAGAGATGAGCTTATTCATTCTGCTTTAATATAGCACAATATTCTTCCAAGATAAGTTTTAACTGTCTTTCAGATTCGTTCTTGGTTCTTGGTTTCAAGAAGTATAGAAACTGCATTTTCCCCGCTCAAGACTCTGAAAAATAGAAGGAAAAACAAAGCATTAAAGATTTTCTTTTTCATTGTATAAATAATTGAATCTTTTGGTTTTCTAAAAAAGATGCCAGAAATTAACTTTCCTGCAATGAAATTGTGTCATGAGTTAATATGATTGTGTTACGATTAATCAAAACAAACTTTTGACTGTTCCAGCTATTAATTTTTACATATTTATTTGGCATATTGATATACCACTTATTTTTAAAATTTCAGGGTGGCTTATAATAAAAATAATGATACATATATATTACATTTTGTTTGATTAAGAAAAATATATTATTTTTTTCTTATTTCATACAATTCTGCAATAATGTCGCAAACATTGAACAAATATCAAATGCAAAGGATAACTGTAAATGTATGGATAGAACCATTTTATTACGAATGTTGCAGGAAATATAGATAATACTGATTTAATTATTCATTCCTTATTCCATTCATCAAATTTGTATGGCTGCCCACTGCCAAAAAAGCACTCTGGTGCTGTACAGCATTTAAGTAAAAAAACAAATATATAAAAACAGTCATCATTAAAAGTAGAAAAATCACATGAACAAAGAAAGGATTATATTAATTGCAGTAAGCAAACCTTTGTAAGATCTTCTTGGTCCCCTGGGATCCTCAGGCCTAATGGCACAGCCATCTTTAGAGACTTGTGAAATGTTAAGAGAGATGGATGTGTGTGTGTATTTTATACATGTATGTATGTAACAAAGTTTCACATAATCTATCACATAGTTATTTTTCACCATATATTTCTGTACAATTTGTAACGTAAGTCTATGGCTATAGCTCTGTGAAGAGAAGGAATGAAGAATGATTGCAATAATTTCATAATACTTTCAAATACCTGGGAGAATATCACACAAAAGAAAGTCAACATTTGTTTTCTATCATTCCAAAGAATGAGTTGGAAACATGGGTTGAAATTGCAGGCAGGCAATTTCTGATTAAATGTTAGAAACATATTCAGCAGAAAGACCTGTTTGAATGTAAAACCTGTCATCTGGAGAGCTAGTGGACTCTCCTTCATTGAATGTAATTATGCAGATGTTGGACGGTCACTTGTCAGGAAAAGTTCAGTTTAGATTCAAGGATGGACACTCTACAGTCTGTGATCTTACATAGTCCTTTCCAATGATATGATTCTATGTTCAACCCATTGTTGCGACAGAAAAGTTCTGTTCTGTTTGTTTGTTGGTTGGTTGGTTTACAATGTGTATGTGTTTGTTGGCTGCTCTGCACCTTCCCTGAAAGAGGAAGTCATGTTAGGATTGATATTGCTAACTACCCCACATAACAAGGGCACCTGACAGTTTAATTCTGCTTCACCTACTTAGTGTTTTTATTCATCATGAAGCACTGAGAATGCAGCTAAGAATATCCAAAGCTGCATTTGCAGGTATCCGTTGGAATATCTTGAGCCTTGTTATGCCTTAGTTATCACACACCCTTCTTGAAGGGCAGATACATAACGTGGTGAAGACAATGATGCCTGCCACATGCATTCTAATAAACAGTAGCCACAGCAGAGAGGGCTGACCCTTAAGCAAGTCTGGAACTTGCTTAATATTGAACAAGTGGAGAGCCATTGCTCCCTCTCACCACCTCCTAATATATCAGAGGTGGACTTCCCTCCCCATAGTTCTGCATCTGATATTATCTGGCCCATCAGGAAGACATGGGACCTGCCGGGTTTAGTTGTACATCCTGCTCCGGAGCATAAATATGGAATATATCTTTCGGTAAATCACAGAGACTCATAAATAAATAAGCTAGTTTTGGTTTATAACCTTATATATATATAATCACTTTTGCGTTTGTTTGTTATCAGACGAACACAGACAAGCCACTAAGTAGAAATAATTAGCAAGTATTAACTCCTAACACTTCACGTGCAATGCAAAGTTGTTAAAATTAACAGCTGTATTTCCACTGACTTTAAGTGGTCCTGAGAATCTTTTAAAAATAAACTATATTAAACTTAAGAGAAAAGCATATATTTGTTGCTAAAAGAGTCACTGTAATTATCTGGAAAATACAGCCTATATTTTTATTTTGCCCTTTTCTTATTTTATCAAGGAGCTTTGAAGCAAAGTCTAAATATAGAACATTCCCGAAAAAGGGACTTGTAGCATTTCTGTAAGCCACTCACCTGATTTCGCTTGAATCTTCAAAACAATCCTTTTACTTGTTCTGTATCAGGGTCCAGGTCAATATCATAGAAGCAAGGCCTTGTGGGCAATCCAGGCATAGTGGTCATCTAAGGGATCAAAGAATCAGGAGTTACACTTCAACAATTGTAACCTGGAAACCTCTCTACACGTAGATAGGATGTAGTAGAAGACCACAATGTTCTTCATGGTCCATAGAAAATAACTAACCCAGTTCTACACCAGTTCCTTTTGCTAAGCCAAATCCCTTAAAATGATTGCAAAGAATTTCTGGGAAAGGAAATAAAAGGCTATAATATCCCAAACCTTATGGGACTAAGCTTATAAAAAGGTGCTGTGTTCTAAGAGATAGAAAGCAAAGGAACGCCTATGGAATGTAAATAGTTAACTACAGTGGATTGAAAGCAGAAACTTTATAAATACCATACTTTATGTATATATAGTTTGCATCCGACAGAAGTCTTGTTATGACCAGCTTATTTCTTTTTATTTTTAGGACCCATTTAGTAGTATAAGCATTTCCAAAATTATGGTTGTTATCGATTACAGAAATAATTTGACATGAATCATACTGCTGCAATATACTGAATAATTAATTGAAAATAATTTTAGCCTGGATATTACAAAGGTTGGGCGGATATTTTTGTAGCCGATGAAGATGGAATGTAAGTGAAGTATCTGATTTCATACTTTTTTGGGGGGGGGGTATAAATTCTAAATATGTTTCTAAATAGGCAATCCTCTATTAACAACAACATTCGGTGACCATTTGAAGTGACAACAAGACTGAACGAATGGTATTTATGATTGCTCCCCCAAATCACGGCCTTTGCAGTGCCCCATGGTCATGGGATCAAAATTTGGGTGCTTGAGAACCAGCCCAGACTGAAGGATGTGCTTCAACTCTCCCCATCTGCCTATCTCCCCACCCCATCTGTGCCTTTGGCCACCCTACCCTCTGCCACCCCAAACTTCCCTTAGCTGACAATGGTTAAGGCAGTGGAGTCTTGTCTGCTGAAGGGAGCTTGCCAGGCCTGACTAGGGAAGCAGCAGCAGGATGGAGCTGGCAGATTGAGCAGGGCAGGAGACACATGAGGTCCTCACCTAATGACACTGTCCTCACCTAGTGTATATTGGAATTACTGTTGCTTAGTAATGCAGTCACATGATGTTTTGCCTAACAACATCTTCACTTAGCAATGGAAATAGGGTTGTTAGGCAAGATTGCTGTATATAATATTCTACAAACTGAGGAGAGTGCTTGAACTATTTCCACCAATCTACAGGACAAATGTCCCTCTTCCCAACGAGAGAAAGAAAGATAAGTGTTTATTATAAACCCTAAGAAAAAAGATCACCATAATAAAATATTGCATAAAATCCAAGGATTTGTGAAACAAAAAATAAGATTCCTGGTACAAAAATACACTCAGCAATACACTCAGGAGCTATATATTCTTTTCCCTTTCCATGATTCTTTTTTCTCTCTTGTTTCCTTTCCCAGTATTCTTGTATTTCCATGAACTTGGTAAACTGCTATTGACTAACAATTAAGGGAAGCTCATCAACTTCCAGTTTTCTCTCCTCAGAATCTTTCTTCTGATTCTTAATGAAGAAAGAAAACTTTATTTGCATGCTATTCTGAATATATTGCTTTACATAAAGCTAAATACATACACCAATTATACAGGGACTGTGCAGCTTGCATCTTAATAGATCTTAAAAGAATTAGCTATAAGCAGCTAATTAAAAGACAGAAATGCCCAGCATCCGTCTTGATGTAATTAAAACAAGCTGATTATATCCTATGACAAAACAAATGCCATGACAAAAGTTTATTGCAAATGTTCTTGGATCCTGGCAGGCTGATCTGGCAACAAATATGAAAACAAACATCCAAACAATAGATAGGAACAACTAGGGTGCTTGAATCAATAGTATTGATACAAAGCAGAACCAATTATAAGGTACTTTCTGCTTGGACACAAGCAGACCAAAGAGGAAAATTGCAATAATTAAATGAGCCAAGATACATTTTGCCATGAGAATAACAATGCAGAAGGTTATGATCTCATTCTAATTAAACACGATGGCAAGAAATTCATAATTAGATCTCCTCTGATTCTTAAAAAAAAATGTTATTTGTCATCATAAACTGCAATGCTAAGAAAAGGAGGCACAAATCCTTTCCCCTGTATAACATTCTCTGAATCTGAATTCCTCATCCAAGTGTTACAAAGCCTCTAGAGAAAATATCAGTTTGGGATATCCAATTGTGGTAAAGCATTTTGTGGAAATTCACATAAACATAACAGAGAAGTGATAGTTGAAGCAATCTATGGAGGGAAAGATTGTAGGAAGGGCTAATATTTAGAAATATTTATGTCTTCCTGAGAGGAAGACAAAAATCACAACAAAACATATTTAATGACTCCCATTATCTGAGAAAATTATGAAAACAGAGGAAGGTTTGTGACATTATTCATTACAATTCCCCAAACTGGAAACAGCTGATCCAATTGACATTCTCTCTGTACACACACACACAACCAGTTGACTTCATAAATTGCCTTATTCAGCAACTTGTAGATAGAATTCTTTATTGGCCAAGTGTGATTGGAATCACATGGAATTTGTCTCTGGTGCATAAGCTCTCAATGTGCATACAAACAACAAAGTGATAGATCATAGATAATAAATCATAAGATACAACAATAAATCATAAGACAACAAAAAATGATACATCATAATTCACCAATAGGAGAAGGTAGTAGGAAAGATGAGAGATGAGAAAGATGAGAAGATGGGTAAATTTCTTTATGCAGAAGACAGTGCTGTAGGAGTTAAGTATTCAGCAGAGTGATGGCATGGGGGAAGAAACTATCTTTGTGTCTAGTTGTTTGGGCATGCAAAGCCCTATAGCAGTGTCTTGAGGGGAGAAGTTGAAGCAGTTTATGTCCAGGATGTGAAGGGTCTGTAGCCCCTGAACCAGCCCCTGTTCTGGTTCATGCAGTTTGCAGGTCCTCAATGGAACGCAGGCTGGTTGCAATTGTTTTTTTCTGCAGTCCTAACTATCTGATGAATACTGTACCTGTCATGTTTGGTTGCTGTTCCAAACCAGACAGCTATAGAGGTACAAATGACAGACTCAATAATTCCTCTGTAAATCTGTATCAGCAGATCCTTGGGCAATCTGAACTTGATGCATCAACTGAGTTGATGCAGGGAGAACACTCTTTGTTGTGCTTTTTAATGATGGTTCTAGTGTTAGATATTCGTTTCAAGTCCTGGGAGAACCCAGAAACTTGAAGGTCTCTACTGTTAATACTGTGTTGTGTAATATTGTAAGAGGTGGTAGTAACTATTCAACTTTTAGGATGCAAACGACCAGCTGTCTGCAAGGAATATAAATCCTTCCATTCCCCCCTATCCTGACAGGACAAAAGAAGCTTCTTGGATGAGAAGCGAAACGTCTTCAAAGAAAAAACAAGAAAGTCCAGTTGCCTCCTTTTTTCAGGAGGCATGGTTGTACCTTTGGGACAACCATGACCTGGATGACTGAGAATCTCTACAGACCGAAAAGCAGAATTATCCAGATATCAATGCTTGTGAAAGGTGCCCAGGTCATCCTATTGAACAATATCTCCATTGAGGAAATGGTTTTTGGAGGACTGGGAAAGATTGCACAAGGATGTAATACTTCTTTTATTAGATATTTTGTTCGTATTTGACCTTAGGGCTGCAATAGATTTGATGTGATTTGATGCCTCGAGCGACCAAGATGGAGTTAGCTTGGAGATCAACTAACATTCTAAACTTTGTAATAAGAACTAATTTGGGTGGCAATAGTCTTTTCAAAAATAAATGAAATAATTACATTTTGTTTCAAGGGCATAATTCCTGTATATCCATAAGTTCAGTATCCCAAAAATTGCTTAAGAACACACTAAATCAAATTTAGAGATGAATGGGTTTATGAAAATATATTGATTTATTTTATATTTATATAAATATGAGAATTAAAATGTAATAACTACTACAAATTTAAATGTCTATGTTAATATAGCATTTTAAAAAATATATTAATTTATTGATTTTTTTAAAATTAAAAACAATGCTAATATTAAACACACATATGCATTATTTTCCTATTTATCCACAATTAGAAAAATATATTCATTTTACTTCCTCCTTATGTGCTGCTACTTGCTTATGTGAATGATAAGGCCGCAAATACAAAATTAAGACTGGCTCCCATTCAAATTAGGCAATCTTTCTTGAATACAAATAAGGATATTTTATTCTCTCAGAGAAGAAAATGTATCTGTTCTTCAAACAATATAATCAACAATTGAAATTGGGACAGTGTTTATGAAGCTTAAATATTCCAAACAACATTATAAAATATTATCTTCGACATGGGAAGAACTTTCAAACTTCAAAAACAAAGTTCACCAACAAGGCACAAAATAATCAAGCCATTTCATAGATAGAAATTATTCATTCCCAGTGTTAAGTATAGGAACTTGAAACCAAGAACAAAATTCTGCATACTTTCATTATGTCACAATACCTTCAAGTCTATCTATCAATCATATATTCGCCCAAGAAAAACTGGAGACTTCATGAACAGATTTGTATGTATATAGATTTAAAATACTGGGCGGATATAATTATTGTTACACTGAATTTTTCTATTCTGCTACTCTAGGTCTTACAGTTGTTTATATCCAAAAGCTCGACAGGAAGTCTTCGGCTTATAATGGCAATTGGGACCAGAATTTCTATTGCTAAATGATGTAGTAGGAAAGTATGACATCACTTGACTGTGTTGCTTAGTGACGGCAATACCATCAGTTCTGGTTGCCCTCATTAAGCAAGGACTATGTGGATTGTTAAGCACATAGTAACCTGACCCTGATTGATCAGTTCTTGGTGGTTTACCCATTACCTTTGCTTGTGGGAAGTCAGCAGGGAATGTCAGAAATCACAATCACATGATTGCAGGGATGCTGTGATACCAGAACTTTGAGGACCAGTAGTAAACGCCATTCATTCAGCAGCATTAAAAAATCTTAAGGGAGATAGACACTCAGAGCCCCAGCTCCCTCCCCCCAGCAGATATTTTGTGCCCTTTAAAGACTGGGCCAGCCAATCTACAAGACAAAAGACATCCAGCTCCAGGGTGATGAGATTAAGACATGACTCTCTGGGACATAATAGGATTAACATCATCTAGCAGCAGAGCTCACCACATGGCACAACATACTCCTTCATTGCATCAGCCCAAACGTCAAGTAATCTTAGCTCAGAGAAACATGACCTCTACAGGGCCCTATGGGAGTCTGACAACAGCCAATAGAATACATGTTCTTGCACGGGAACAGGAAGCTCAAATTCAAAGCATAAGAGAAGGTATAAAAGCCACCCACTCAACTCCATCTGGTCAGCTGCTCAGAACCACCCATGTGCTTCTGCTTCACCATTAAACTATCTTTCCAATCAGCCTCCATGTTTCCAGTGTTTTTTTTTTCCAGCTTGGAACTGAACCAGATGGATATTTCTTCCAACAAAACACTTTATTTAATGGTAGCACTCACTAGGAGAAATGGCACCACAGACTATTATCAATCTAGGATCACTATAGATTGGTTGCAAAAAATACTAATAACTAGTAGATGGTAGAAAATTATAGATTTTATATATTTTTCTTACCATCTTCTGGTTTTTGAATTTTTGCAATTCTACCACATTTCCATGCTAATTGCACCACTGAGATTTGATGTCCTCTCCTGTATTTGCATTAATGGCGCCCATCTGAATATTCCATCTTTTATGCACTTTCACTGCAGACAGCATTTCCATTAATGGACTGTATTAAATTGTCCACTAATTTTGGCCATAAAAAAACCCCTGACATAAGTATAAAAGCAAACCAACCTCTGATTTTGATAGTTCCTACATGCTCTTGCAGTAAAACATTCCCTTAATTTGTCTTTGTTTCCATTAAATCCTTTCACATTGTTTTATGACTAATAAAAGAGTAAAGTATACGACGGCACAATTTTTAACAACTTTACATATGTTTAAGGCATGCATAATTCAAATAGCATATTTTAAAGCATTTATCTAAATGCAAAAATATACATATGCTCTATATAAAAGCAGCTCAGGACAATGAAATGTTAAATCCTTTTAATTCTCCCTTCTTTTAATGAGGAAAATGCAGAGAAATGTGTTCTTATTTTCCTTTTGTGAATGACAACATTTGGTTCTAACCTGAAACGTATAGCTATGCATAGTTTTTCATGGGAGGTGGTCATATATTTCCTTAGGTCAACATACAGTATATTTACCTCACCTTATTCAATAGGTACTTTAGTTATAAGCTCCTACACAATGGAGAGGAAGATTGAAAGTAAAGCATTTACTTGGACAGCTATGTAATGCATTCCTATACTGTGTTTGCAATCAGAGCTTTCCCCTAAAATTTGGTTAAATGAAAGCTAATAAAAATGAACTAACTTCAACTTTATGAAGAGCATCCAGTGGAATGGAATATTCAGTAGAACACAGTAAAGCCGAAGTGATAAAATTGCTCTTAAATTCTTGGTATGATTTTACTGATAGCCCTTTTATATGCATTGTGTATTAATTTAAGTTTATTGCACATTCACTGTGTGCTTTGCATTTTTGTAGTTTTATATGTGGAATTTAATATTTATAATTATTAATATTGTAAATTCTCTGTCTCTGTTCTCTGTGTGGTAGCGTACACACCCACAAGATACTGCAGAGCCTAAACATGCCTCTGTTTCAGTAATTTTCTTGCAAGGCATTTGTTCTTAAACCCCACCTCATCCTTACCATTCTCTTAAAAAGCTATTTTAGTTTCTCTCTCCCTAGCCCACTTTTTAAAAGCATCATATCCAAAATTCGGCAAAATTCACTATTGCTATTTCAGGAGAATTAATATCAACTGACTAATTTAAATGTGATATTTAGTATATTTATGCATATGTTGTCAACATTCAATGAACTATGTGTTTCAAGCTTAAGGCTCTCACCACAAGCTAAATATCTTAACCTTAGATCTGTTGTGCTCTTTCTCTGTCAGTAGATACATTCCTTATTTTAGATAATATATTCCCTGAAATTATTCATTTCTAATATAATCATGATTCTTTGTTCTGTTTTGGTTCTCTAAGCAGATGAGCATGATGGCTCATGTGGTTAGGGCACGGGGCTGACAATTGGCAGGCTCCCGTTTGGGACCTGGTAGCTGCCGTGTGGTGGTGGGGAGCTCCCGTCACTCACTCCAGCACCTGCTGACCCAGCAGTTGGAAAGCAGGTGAATGCGAATAAATAGACGGGTTATCACTTTGGTGGGTACCTTAATGGGGACATGAAGAAGCCCCCAACTAGGCATTCCCTGGGCAATGGTGATGTCACTGGTTGATCCTTTTAACACGAAAGTGCTTCGGTGCTTCCGACATGGAAGTATAGTATAGTATTCCTAAACAGATTTTGCCGAAATCTAATTATTTTCTGAATAATTAGTTTACTTAGTTAATTAGTTAATAATTAGTTTCTGAATAAGCTTAATTGCAGTTTCTGAATTCTAATTATGTAGCTGTCTTCATTTTCATAATAAAGTTAGTAAGTATGTCAAAAAACTAAGGGAAATACTCTACATTTCAATATACCTTTGATAAACAAACATGAACAGACAAATAGACAATAATCAATAACTAACTAACATTGTTGAATGTATGCTGGAGTTTAAGAACAATTGGAGATCACGAAGTGTTCCACCATTTTCTGTGATATTATTCACAAACATATCTACTATATATATATCCAAATCTTAAAAAAAAAAAAGGAACAGATTTGTGAAGATGATGATGTTCCTATGTTCTGAACCTTTAACTAGACATGGGTCTTTATCATTGGAATGACCTAGGAAGATGCAAGTAAAATTTGTTTAGGTATATTGGCTTTGAAGAGCAGAGGAAGAAATTAATGGAGCATGATACCATTAAGATATATTAGATCTATAAAGCTGTCTTCTATGAGCCACTAATTACTGATACAAAGAATGAATTAACATTCTAACCCACTATTTAAAATCAATCATTTATCGAGGTTGCAAAGAAATGTCCCAAATGTGTTTTTATTTTTCTAATAGATCAGCCAATATAATATGGTAAGATATTGTTTGTTGATGAGTACGAACAAATCAAAGATCCAAACTGCTAGAAAGTCAGTGCTTGCATTAATTTATCACCAGAGCAATCCAGATGCTGTCCATTTTTAAAAATCTGCTTTACATCAGGGGTTCCCAAAGCCTTCAGCTCATCAACCCTTTCATGAGTTTCAAATTGTTCATTTAGTATTGAAAATGATTTATTAAATATTACGTTAACTAATAGTGTTACTACTACTACTACTAGCATCAACCCCAGTATGGATAATACTGATCACTTTGAGGAAGCCTGCTTTATATCAAACCAATTCAAATGATGGATTTCAAAGTAGTCACTCTATGAACAATATGTGAATCTTTTTAGTATTTCATGTAATTTTAAAGCTTTTAGATACTGCTTCCTACATTTTGAAAACTATTTTTCTTTTCTTTACAAGTTAAACAGCAAAGAAAGGTTTTTAACTCCCATTAACCTTTGGAAGGACTTTCAAAAGCCATAGGTAATTGATTTCAGGCAGTGGTAATTCTGATAGGTAATTGTAGATCCTGGACTAATGGCTTATTGGTGGTTATGTTTCAGAATGACCCTACATTATAATTCAAGTTGTGGAAGAATCAAAGTGCCTTTATCTCCTATTCTTTGTTGTTTCTTTGTTTTACAATTGCTTCTACATTCTGCATGTGTTTGGAGGGAAGGAATCTCTTTGCCAGTTGTAATTAAACAAAGAAATTCTCTAAATATGTACAGTTTTGCATTAAAGCTCACTAAAACACTAGCACTATGGTTCCCATAGGGATAACTCGAAGTTTACTTATACTGTGTTAATGCTAATGACTTGTGTTTCTCATGAAGACAATTACAGTTTAAAGTGAAAATAATAAAATGAGCATCTATAACCCTACACGTGCTTAGACAACCATATCATGTATAATATGATATATACAGATATTCCTTGGCTAACAACAGTAACTGAGACTGCAGTTTCCATTGCTAAGGAATGTGGTAGTAAAGCATGACATCACACAACTGCATTGTTTAGTGATGGCAATCTTGGCACTCCTTGTTGCCATTGTTAAACAAGGATTGTGGTTGGACAGGTGGCATGAGTACAGTGGGGCTGCTGCCAGATGGGGTAGAGGGAGAGCAATTTATTGGACTAATTTGTGACCTGCCCTGTCATCTTCCCCATGGATTTTGCTTGTGGGAAGCCAACAGGGAAGGTTGCAAATGGTGACTACATGATCACAGGATGCTACAATTGTCGTAAGTGCAAGCTGGTTGCCAGGGACCCAGATCACAATCACATGAATGCAGGGATGCTGAGATGGCCTGAATTTTATGGACCGGTCGTAAGTACCACTTGTTCAGCGCTTTTGCAACTCCAAATGGCAGCTGAATGAGTGGTTGTTAATCCTGTACGATTTAAATAAGAAACAACCAAACCAAACCAAAATACTTTTATATGACTTCCCTCTACCAACCACAGTAATATTTAAGAAAAATAAGAATTAAGCAGCAGTTAAAACTGCACACAAGAATCCATATATTGAGAATCACAATAAAAATGCAATTTATGCAGATTTTGAAACCCATCTACCATGTACCATTACTAACAAGAATGATAGCAAAATAGCCCTACTGCCATTCTGACTCCAGTCAGTACATTTGCTTTGTAAGTAAATCTCTAAATCCTTTTAAAATGATGTGTGGAACTGGAGTAGCAAGAATCAGAATTCCATAATTGGGGATCCAGTTCCTGAAATGCTGGTTGGAGTAACTCGTGAAAAGAAAATGGGGGGGAAAACCCTGTTCTATTGATTATATTGGATACAAAAGCTCAGATCAAGTTAGGAACTGGGATTGGTGGTGAGAAATAACTATGACAATTCGCCATGGCCAACTTGCCATAGGACAACTCCCTGTGGGCAAGGAGTTCCACTAATATCAAATAGTGGATTAGAATCATTAAAGAAAGGATGCAAAAGGCGAGACAGTGTGAAATGTGAATGGCAAAAATTAAAATATTTTTTTAATATAATTAAATAGAATTGTTAAATTGTCCTACAGCAAGTTGTCCGTGGCGAATTGTCCTGCAGCAAATTGGCCGTGATGAATTGGCTGCTGCAAGTTGTCCCATTCCGACTTACACATCAGAATGAGAAACTTCCTCGATAGAAAATCAATAAAAAGCCCTGCAATGAGAAGAAAGAGGTGGAAAAGAGGGAGGGTCTGTGCAATGCATTTTGCAAAGTTCTGAATTCAGAAATCCCTAATCCATTTTCACAGGGCAGTAAAGAAGGTCCATTTATTGCTACTGCTTTTTCTTCCAGATCCGATAAGGGGACAAGTTCAGGGATTAGAACAACCAATTACACATTAAAAATGCTACCATCCTCAGAGCAACCCCACCCCCATTGAATTATGTAGCTTCAAAGGTGTCAACGATGCGAACTGGTAGTAAAGGTAAGTAGAACCCATCCCTGGTTTAGATGCCCTTTTACTTTGAGCTCACGTTTCTGTGATGAATGGCACATGCTTGAGACCAAAATTAATGTCATCCATTGCACTCAAATTTCAAAGCAATTGAATAAACTGCCTAATCTCAATTTAAATCAAAACTATGACGTTGCTTAAATATCTTTGAAAACGTCATATTGCGCATTAGCTGTTTTCCTAATGGTCAATGCATCAACTGTACAAAATAGAAATATCTATTTTAAAAAAGAAAACGTGGAAATTCAATCTACAGTATGTTGCAGAACATGAATTTGGCATTCTACAATATCATAATAAATAAATTTGAAAGAGATGCTCTAAAGAGAAGCTATTTGGCTTGCGTTCTTACAAACAATATCAAAACATTCTCTAAAAAACAAATACTTTTGGAATTTTAACAAACACACCTGAGAATTGCAAAAGACATCAAGGACATCGTTATCTCATAAAGATCCCAACAGATAATTCTGGGAAGATTCAGAACCACCCATCTGGTAAGCAAATATGAGATCCATGTTGGAGTGCCACCATGTGGAAACAAAAGTTTGCAAGATGTGCTTGGAATATTTCAATTAGCTGTGAGGATAGTTTTTGCCAAGTGAAGAAAGGAGCACCACATGTATCAGTACTGATCTGAAGATAACAAATATTCCTGCTGGAAATTTAGGAAAGCTTTACACATATACACTAAAAGCAGAATGATAATGAAAGTTGCAACAGCATTTGGTAGACTCTGCATACGTACAGTAGTAATTTGGTGCAGATTCACTTTCATGTACTTCTACATACTGAATCCACAAAATATAGGCAGATCATATAACTACATCCTATACTATTGCTATTATCTTCCTGAATTACACCTCATGAATCCAATTCAGAGAGAAATCTGTCCTCCAGTCATGAGGAAGAAGTTCTTTATGAAATTGGACACCCATTAGAATCTCTTTGGGGGGGGGAAAGCATTTTCTTTGTAGCATTTGCTAATGCAAGTAAATGACAAAGAAAAAAGTACTAAATGTTTTAATACCAAACAATTACATCCCCAAGGGCATCAAACCAAGTTGCAATTTTGAGGCTGAGGGAGGGAAACACCATTCTCTCTCCTCCATTACACAGACAATGGAGTAAATACTTCCAGACAGGGGAAAGAAAGCAATCTTTTGGATAACGAAGGCTTCCTTTCCTTATGCCTTTGTGGATACCAATCTGCAGAAGATGATGGAAATTTCCATTGCTCAGACAATACAAAACTGTCTATTACTAAATGGAATATTGAAAGAACAAAGAAAAAATAAAGAGAAGAAAATGATTAAAAATCAGCCAACAAGAAAATGTGTATCGGTCATGTCTCTGGGCTCAAAGTATTTCATTACAGTGGAATTAGAACCTCTATCATATAATGAAGAGGAACACTGTGGCTCAGTGGCTAAGACGCTGAGCTTGTCTATCGAAAGGTCAGCGGTTCAAATCCCTAGTGCCGCATAACAGGGCGAGCTCCCGTTACTTGTCCCAGCTTCTGCCAACCTAGCAGTTCAAAAGCACATAAAAATGCAAGTAGAAAAATAGAGACCACATTTGGTGGGAAGATAACAGCGTTCCGTGCGCCTTTGGCATTTATACATGCCAGCCACATGACCACAGAGACGTCTTTGGACAGCGCTGGCTCTTCGGCTTTGAAATGGAGATGAGCACCACCCCCTAGTGTCGGGAATGACTAGCACATATGTGTGAGGGGAACTTTTACCTTTACCTTTATCATATAATGATGTGGAATATGATATGCTGGTTTGAACATCTGATTTTCCTCTTTTAAGCATTTATTTTTTAGTTAATTCACTACTGTATACTTCTATAAGTTGCTCCTTTAAACTCCTTTCTTCTATTTCTTCCTTGAGTAACTCAATAAAAACAAATATGGCTGACTAATTACAGGAGAGACTCTCAAAGGGAAGGAAGCTTTCTTTCCCATCTGCTGAAGGCGTGCCAAACATTCCTAGCAATGGTTTAGATAGAGAGCAAGCTGACCGTTTTCCTGGCAGGCCGAGAAAGGAGAACAAAGAGCAAGATATGATCAGAAGAAGAAAGCAGACCCCAGAGTTTTATGAAAGCTTGTAATGATTCAGCCATTCTATCTATCAGAGACCACTTAAAATGAAAAAAAACTTTAATATGAAAGCAAAATAATATGCCTATCCAATTTGCCCCTTGCCTTTGTGCTCTCATTAATCTTAATTGGTTAATATAGCTGGCTGGGATTTAAAGAGACAACTTGATCCATCTTTAAAATGTATTGATTACATCATGTTCTGTCTCCAATATACTTGTCCTGCAATTTACTCGTCCTTAATGATCTCATTGAAATCAATGTCATTTGACTGAAATGAATTCGTAATTTCTCATTCTGTATTATATGAGAAGTACTGGAAGGGAAATGTTATGATCTCAGAGAATAAAGACAAACAAAAGAAGATTGTGGCAGACAGGTGTCCTACTTGTCCTGATCCACCCCCCAAAAAATGTAAAAGTATTTTACATAGAAATACTCTCAAAATGAAAGCCATCCTTTTTTCTTTTGTTATCATTTATATTCGTCAGGTTTTCTGTTTTCTATTGTAAACTGTGAATGAACCTTTGCAACAAAAACTACATCTCAGATTCAACTTTTAAAAAGCATCTCCCAATTTCCTTCTCAGGTTCCTATCGTTCTTTCAAGAAATACATACAAGGAATATAAAAGATGCTTAAAAAGATGATGAGCTATGAAGGCCTAAGTGATTTATATCTCTACTGATATAAGTCATCCAGATTTTGATTTAGCAAGCATGAATTGTATTCTGAATACCTTTTCTGTTACTTTTTCTGATACAACTAAGTTCTAGGCAATTCAAGAAGCCAACATTTGATGAATTTGAAAGAACAAGCAAATAATTTTATAAAATTTTGCCAGTGCACTTTTAAAAACCCAATTCTAGAAATAAAAAAATCAACCCCCTCGGAGATTCCTGCCATTCTCCAGACACAGTGAAATGCATTTCCTACTGTATTTTCTTGCAATGCAGTTTAATGGAACAGCACATAATTGCCATTGATTGGAGTAAAAGCAACCAACAACTTCTCAGTTGTTTCATAGTTTCATTGCTCCATTTTTCTTTAAACTTTTATCCTATATATTTCTGGCCTCTAAAAATGACACATTCCATTCTTTATGTCAAACTTATCAAAATTAAACTATTTCCAGCTGCCAAAATAGCTATAAGGGAAAAATGTTATTATAATATATTATATAGTGCTGTTAGCAAACTGAGGATTTTTCCCTCATCCATTACAATTTAATATATACCCCCACCCCCCCAAAATTCCCTGGATAGTACAGTAGATGTGGCAATTATAATAGCAAATGCTTTCCTAACACACTGTATAATTAAAACCAATTGTCAGAATCAACTGAAAGAAGGCAAGTATGCAAAGCAGGAAATAGTCTTGACCTATTAGACTAAAAACAAATTATCTTCATAATCCAATTATACTGATGTACTGTATAGCCTATTCTCCCTTGTGTTGATTCTGCTCTTGTATTTGTGATTTATCTTGAACTACATTTTCACACATAAAAATGCAACTTGTGTTGTAATTTTTCCCGTTATCTTTTTTAAATTTGTTCGAAGTACACAAACTAAAAATGAGCAGGCAAAATCCCAAGGGGGGAAAAAGACTATATGTACACTGAGTTTTGTTCAGCCCAAAGATTGGTAACCTGTGCCCTGAGCAGCCCATTTGCACCCCCAGGACCCCAACATCACACAGCTGCAATTCATCAATGAAATAGAAGTTTCTTAGCATTAAGATCTTTTTCCATTCCAAATAAGATATAAATTGGAGTAAGTAGCCTCTCAAAGGAAGCCATTTCTATTTTCATCCTTACTATCTACCATATCATGAACTGGCCACATTGTGTGTGTGTGTGTGTGTGTGTGTGTGTGTGTGTGTGTGTATCTATCTATCTATCTATCTATCTATCTATCTATCATCTATCTATCTATCTATCTATCTATCTATCTATCTATCTTCTATCTACAGTATCTCAAAGGTTTCAATTTTGCTTCTGGAGTGTCTCATAAATTATCTCAGAATAAATGTGAAAAAGGGTGACATGAAGATGGAGGTTGAAATCATAAGCCATGTGCGCTATTGCTTATTTTACTGTATTGTGACAGTGAGAAAGGGCACCTCTCTTGCTTGCCAATCTTTTCTACTCAAAATGACATGATGCAACTGAAAACGTTGATTCTAAAATACCAGAACTTCTACTTAACCGTTGGTGACCATACCTAACATCACATGCAATCTGTGCCTTCATTGAAAGACCCTGGTTCAACAAATAAACCATTAGAAAGCAACAAGTAGTGAAGAATTCATTCTTCAAAAACAGAACAACCTACATCTATAGCTTCACAAAAGGGAGAAAGAAAAAAAATCCTTGCTTAATTTATATCCAGCCTTGAAAAATTTTCTTGGGTTACCTATAGATTCTATAACACTGCTGGAATGGATGGTGCCTAAAGAGATCCAGAAAGCTGAGACCAGCATATGAATAAAAAGAATCAAACTCTGCAAACAGGGAACTTATCAGCAATCCTAAACCATTCATTTAGTGGGGGGGGGGACCTCTTAATATTTATAGACTTTTTTTCTGGAATGCCTAAGACCTTGTTGTGACTTAAATATTCAGTCATCAATTTTCAGCTAAGGGTCAGAAAATATTTTAGGGAGTGTGAGTCAACAAGACCAATAACCTTCAGCATTCCAAAACGTATGTGACTGTTAAAATAATGTACATTATTAATGGAAACATTTTCTATTCAAAACAATATTAATTAGAAATTAACATTTATAAACACAGGGCTGGTTTATCATTTTGTAAAGAAACAAACCAATTAAAAAACCTTGAAGTGTCAAACACTGGCTGAATAAGATTATGTTTATCTCAACTTTGTATAGAGGCAAAGAATGCAGCTCTGTATTGTCTCTAAATCATTGTTGTCCTTGGAGAAGTCAAAGTGGAATTCCTCTGCATTGTGTCGCACAGAGCACTCTTACTAAAGCAGATTAACTAATATGTGGGAAAGTACAAAGCAGCAATAACTTTTGGGTGGGTCTGAATCTCTCACAAGCACAAGAGAATCCAATCATTCCCCACCCATGCATAACTCACTAGTGACCTCACCAACTTCCTAAACAAATTTAACAAGCCTTCCTGCCTGCTTGCCATATAATCAGGTCATCATGTCACAAGCCCACCTGTGAACGTACAATAGTCAGAGTTATTGCAAAATGACCTAAAAACTATGGCAACATTTGGAAAAAGCTGTGTGCAGTTTTCACCCCTTAAATAGACTTATGTGTCGCATAGGAATTTTCAGTGCAAAACAATATTTTATAAAACTGAGTTTCAAAATTTAAGAAAGGATTTTGTTTGTTTCTGACAGAAATGTTCAAAATCAATACATGAAAATGCTTCCCCTTCTCCCAACAATCTCATCTAGAAAAGGAAATCTGAACACTAGACTTGTGTATGAATTTGAAAGGAGATCAGAGTTGGCCAATTACTGACCAGAGTTTAGACTGACCCCAATCCTGGAGGTCAAAAGGTAGGACTGAACCTGTACACTATTGATGTTAACTTTTGATTGGTCTGTTTTCACCCTGCCTGCTGTTTCTATATGTGTTGCTTTTTGTTTTTGTTTTTCTGCTTTCCTTTTTAAATTTTCTTTTAAAGTATTTCGATCTCAGATTATTAATTTGAGATGGGCAGCCATATATAATGAAATAACAAACAGGCAAACACATACATATATACGTAGTCCTTTACTTACATGAGTTTGCTTAGTGACCAAAGTTAAAATGTCACTGGAAAAAATGACTTATGACTGCTTTTTCAGACTTATGACCACTGCAGCATCCCCATGGTTATGTGATCAAAATTCAGAGGCTCATATTTATGATGGTTGCAGTGCCCTGGAGTCATGTGATCACTTTTTGCGACCTTCTGACAAGCACAGCCAATGGGGAAACCCAGATTCACTTAACAACCGTGTTACTAACTTAACATCTGCAGTGATTCACTTAACAACTGTGGCAAGAAAGGTCATAAAATAGGCAAGAACACACCTGCCTCGCTTAGCAACAAAGATTTTGGGCTCAGTTGTGGTCGTAAGTCTAGGACAATCTGTATAATATTAGCTTTAGAATTTCAGTGAGTCAAATACAATTTATATTTAGCCTTATTCATAATATACCATAAGACATTAGTGCTCTCGTGCCTTCGTGCTCTCAGGAGAGCACGAAAGGTTGAAGTCACATTCTGGACATTCTGACATTTTATCGTGCTTGTGGTGGTGACAGGAATGTTTCCTGGCTATATACATAGAAAGCAAACTGCAAGGCCAGAGAATCCTCATGACAGAATTTCCTGACTTCTCAAAGCACATCCAGTTGGGATTCACTTCCTTCCTTGTGCCCTTTCACTGGTAATGCAGAACAATAAGTCAGAAGCTCTCTACTATTTCCAAATGTCTTGCTCATGTAAGAAAATCAGACTGTGCTCTGGACTGGTCAGGTAACACTACAAGAACACATTCTTCTTATGATTGCTTAGTGTTTAGGTTCTGTAGAAATGACAGTTGTTATTATTATCAGTAATTTAATATCTAATCTGGATGAAACCATGGTTTCTTATGATGTCACTTCACTCTTCACCTCCATTCCCACAACTGAAGCTATCATGGTAGTGAGGAAACAACTGCTTATAAGAAAGCACATTAAGTGACAGATCTAACCTCAGCTTAGACCACATATGTACCATGTTGGACCTCTGTCTGACCACTTTCTGTTTTAAATACAATGAAGGTTTCCACAAACAAAAACATGGCTATGCCATAGGTTCAATTGTGTCCCCCATTGTGGCCAACCTCTACAAGGAAGAAGTAGAAACCAAAGCCCTAAACTCCTTCACAGGTATTTCATCTACTCATTGGTAAGGGTATCTGGACGATATTTAGGTCAAGATTAAAACAGCAAGTGGAAGCCTTCACCAAATTCATCAATACAGTGGACAGGGCAAAATTCATTTAACAACTGTATTGCTTAGCCACAGAAATTTTGGGCTCAAAATTTCTGCCTTATAATCTTTGAACTCTCATAGTTTGAGAAGCATCTCTGGGATACTGCTGTATGAAGAAACATTAAATCTATTCCTCTCCTATTTGGGTTTGTACCAGTGGTGAAATCCAAATTTTTTTACTACCAGTCCTGTGGATGTGGCTTGGTGGGCGTGGTGTGGCTAGGTGGGCATGGCAGGAGAAGGTTACTGCAAAATCTCCATTCCCACCCCACTCCAGGGGAAGGATACCGCAAAATTTCCATTCCTACTCCACTCCAGGGAAAGGATACTGCAAAATATTCATTCCCTCCCCACTCCTGGGGAAAGGATATTGGAAAATCTCCATTCCCACCCCACTCTGGGGCCAGCCAAAGGTGGTATTTTTTTTTTAAAAAAAATTTGATTTATATGCCGCCCTTCTCCGGAGACTCAGGGTGGCTTACAATGTGTTACGCAATAGCCTTCATACTTTTGTATATTTATACAAAGTCAGCTTATTGCCCCCACAAACTGGGTCCTCAGAGAACTGTTACCAGTTCTCCGAACTACTCAAATTTTCTGCTACCGGATCTCCGAACTGCTCAAAATTTCCGCTACCGGTTCTCCAGAACCTGTCAGAACCTGCTGGATTTCACCCGTGGTTTGTACAATGAATCCTTTACATTTGAATCAATATACTTGGTTCAAAACTTATTTGATGTAAATCCTTATAAATAGATAAAGTATCTCAGAGATGTCTGATTATTTATTTTTATTCTGTTTGTACCACAGGGTTCCAAACATAATTTTTCAAATGCGATAGATAGACTACTCACCGTTCCCACCAATGGATAAATAAATCCAGCTCCAATACTGGCTCTTACGTCGCTGATAGGTAGAACAAACCCAGTGGGAACACCTTTCTTCTCAGGCATGTGGGAAAGAGACAAGTGGGTTTTTGCCATACAAATGGGCAAATTCCCAAATCCCTACCAAAACAGAAACAAGAAAGAGAGAGAATGTATCTATACCACACTGAAATAACAACAGTTTCCTCTCCAAGGTTTTGCATGCTGTACACTAAACAAAGCTAAATTTTATTACCAGTACATTGCTGACTTCTAGGAATAAGTCTTTGGCTCAAGCTTCAATAGATTGTGGCATACATCTTAATTAATAATAGGTTCTTCAATGCCTTTCTCAAGGCCCAGTACAGATCACAAAGAGAGCAATTGCGATATCTTATCTAGTAACTCAACAACTCAACTGCGGTAGTCGGGACAGAGCATCCGCCAAGAAATTCTTCCCTCCTGGTATCTACTTGAGGGTGAACTGAAAATGCTGAAAATATTGCGCCCACCTCACCTTGTTTCGGTGACAATTTCCTTGGGGTCTCTAAAGCCGCCAGATTTTTGTGGTCAATCCATACCTCGAATGGCATTTTATCATATCACAGGGTATCATTTTAAGCATATGCAGTTGTGTTTGGCTTGTCTCAATAGTTAATATATTGTTTATTGGTTTGGCTATTGAGCTGTGAATTGTTGAGTTACATACTGAACATATATACATCCATAACTAAAAGGGATTAATCTAGGAATTGCTGAGATTAATTAGAGTAAAGTAAGATAACAAATCCTTCCACTCACCCGGCAACTAAATAAAAAGTTATATAAATCATTTTTAAAGTTTTCTAATTTTCACAGGGATGAAGAGCAGGAGGGAGTTAAAATCAGAGTCTCAAGGCCTGGAGACTTCAACTCTGGAGTGAGTAATAGGAAGAGAGGACTCTCAAGGTAGTGTAAGGAACAAACAGAATTGTAGGAAGTACTCAGGACGTCAGGAAGACCATGGGTTTAGAGACCAGAGTGCCCTAAACATAAGCATCAGCCATAGACTCTGATTCAAATAGGGAGCCAGGACAGAGCCTTGTGGAATGCCGAGATATGAAAGTGGCAATGAAGGTCCGATGCACTTTTTTAATCATTTAACCAGGAGCCTTTCCTTTCTTAGGCGACACAAATCCGTGATTGTGGGGGCCAGGCAGCATTCTGATTCAGAAACATCTTGGTGATATTAATAAACAAGTCACTGAAAGGGCCAGCAATAGTAGGCCCTATAGGATGGGAAAAGGCAAGAAAGGCAGGTATCATCCAGGTCATGGTTATCCCAAAGGTTTAGTTGCATTTTGAAAAACATCTTTGGATTTAAAGGCACATACAGAAAGATTGGGTCCTGGCCCGCAGCAGCATTATACTGTATTCTGGGCAGTTTTTATCCATTGTTTAAACAGATACATTTTAAAATAGGAATGGCACTCACAATATATCTGTTGGCATATATTCTTGTTTTTACCTGTTGAGTGTAACAATTTATTTGAGACTGTGCTGCAGGAGATAGCTCTATATCCTGAGCTCCATAGATCTTCTGAGCTATGATTCTTATTTTTTCAATTATGGGAAGCTGTGAAAACAAAACAGGATGACAGAATGTTAATTTGAAGAGTCCCAAGATACTTTCCTTCATATCAGGATTGCCTAGTTCTCACTGGCAGTGAATTTTGTACAACACTGTACTGAATGTTCAGTTATGCATTGTTTCCTAAAAAAAATATCATGGATGTAAAAGATAGCCTCTGTTGCCTTCCATTCAGAAATCATCATTAACCTTATCTTTTCTACAATGCAGACAGAGAAAAGACAAGTTTATGTATATCAGCTTCCCGTAGTTATGCATTCTGAAGTGTACATATAGTCCTCAACAGTTCATTTAGTGACCGTTTGAAGTTACAAACGGAACTGAAAAAAGTGACTTATGACCATTTTTCACACTTACGTTGTACCGTTGTATCACATTGGACACATGATTTACATTCAGATAGTTGACAACTGGTTCATATTTAGGTTGCAGGGTCACATGACCAAGAGACACGGTTGCAGTGTCCCTGGGTCATGTGACCCCCCCTTCTGCGACCTTCTGACAAGCAAAGTCAATGGGGAACCCAGATTCATCTAACAACCATGTTTCTAATTTAACAACTGCAGTGATTCACTTTAACAAATGTGGCAAGAAAAGTTGTAAAGTGGGATTAAAAACTATTCTCACTTAGCAACATAAATTCTGGTCTCAATTGTGGTCGTAAGTCGAGGACTACCTGCATTTCAGTTTTGTTTTGCTTATTTAGCAAGAAAGGCAAAAATATGTTGCAGTCACTCACCCAAACCAACCACCACCCAAACAGTTCTGGTTAAACCAAGCTGTACATATTCTGTATGCTCATGATAATTGGAAAAAGCCACTTTTTTCTATATGCTCAGTGAATTGTTCTCTCATAAACAATTCACAAAGACAAGTCCAAGTCCCATATCTGGCAGGTACAACTGAGGGATCAACACAAGATGTACAAATGGCTTGTGTTGTCTGATTCTTCTTAAGCTCCAAGTGGGATATATCTATATAACACCTGAAGATGTGCAGTTTTAGAGCATGTAGATGCCCTTGGAAAAGTCTTGCTGAAGTAAACCAGGCCTGGAAAATTTATCACAAGCTGAATATAAGTTTCTATTATTGAAACTACTCTAGAAAACCTCTAATGGATTACCTCAGAAACAGCTCTCAGCTTTTTTTCCCCTTTGCTACTGCAGTCAAAAATACATTCTTTATTAAATGATCAATATACTATTCAATTGCCAGGGTATGTAAAGAAGCATAAGGCTAGGCTGATCCTTTATTTTAAAAGTGTCTACTCTGCACATTCCATTCCCTCTGTAGAAAGTCCTGCCCCAGTCTAAGTCCTAGATTTTTCTGCCTAGATTGGCTTGCAACAACTGAAATTCAGTAAGTATGAGGTAATGTTAGCTTATCATTTTTACAATGGAATCATGTATAAAGTTACACTGCTAATTTTTGTACTAATCATGCTGAAGCCTGGAAAGATGTGGGAGAGCAATGAAAATAATTTTTTAAAAAGGACAGAATTAATGACCAAAAGATTCTTGCCTACCCCATCTGTTCAGAAGAATTAACACATTCAGCGTACACACACACACACACACACAAATTAACCACAGCTACTGCCACAATATTTTCTTCTATGATTAAGAAGCAGCCAACACAAATGCTTGGAGCAGAGGGCATTTTGCCACAGGAATCAGTAGCGCATTGATTGAGTAGGGCTGGGCTTTTGGTGCCCTAGCTTTGTGCCAATCTCTACAGCAAAAAATTGTCACGGCAATATAGTGATTCATTGCTTTGGTACCAAATGCCAAGGCTCAACCTCATCCTTCAGTTCTGGAAAGATTCTTATTAGCACATTCCTTTATTTAAAAAAAAAAAAAAAAACAAGGGAGGAGGAAGGTAACCTTAGACCTCACATTAAATCCAAGACAAATTTATCACTCTGTGACAATACAAAATGTTTTGGCCCTTCTCTGTTTTTTTTTTTTTTTTTATCCAGTAACACTATGTTCACGATTGTATTTTCATTGGGCAGCCTTGTCCCCCTGGCCTACAACTCTTAGCATTGCGGTTGGTGTTTTGGTACCCGTGCTATAATATTTTAAACCTCAAACTCTGTTTGCATAGAAATGACAAACAAACTTCTAGAAAGTTTTGATGGATGGATACTACAGTCTTCCAAGTCTTCTATCGACTAGACTAGAGATAGAAATTATGGCAGTTGAAATTGTACAAGGTTCTTTTGCTCTACTGAATGTCTCCTTTAAAAAAAAAAACATGTTTTTTAAAATTCCAATATACGGTAGTCATGTTTAATGTAGGATTTTTCTCTCCATTATTTATTTATTTAGAACATTTATATGGCCACCTACCTTAAGCAAATATACTTGGGGTGACCAACAGCACAAAAGTAATGTAAATGATTAGTTTCTCTTCTATTTTGAAAATACCCCCAAAAGCTCTTTTCTGCTTTTCTGCTTTTTACTTTGCTCAAAGAGTTTCCATAGAATTAGAAGTGTTGTAATGGTGTGGCTCAGTGAAAGTACACTTCCAGGACTACTCTGCTTTTTCTTTGGTTGTTCCCAGATAACATATAAAAATGTATGGCAAAAACCTATCAAGCAAGTAGATCTTTTCAAATAATAATCATAATGAAAATCATAATGATAATAATAATCCTCCAGTGAGGCACTAGCGACATGGCTGTGGGCTTGTGATAATTCAAGGAATTCCCAAAAGCTATCCAGATTTCTATAAGCCAGTTCAAAGAGAAAGATACCAATAAAAAAGAATAGACAAAAAAAAAATAAATGGAATATAGAACTCAGCCTGATTTACAGACAATGCACCACAAAAGTTGAACATTGAAGAGTGTTACACAAGAAAATATTTTCAGATTGTATTGCATTTGGGGCTGTATCTCCTTCCCTGATAGTGGGATAATTTATGCTGAATACATCCAAATTTAAAGACCATCCATACAAACAGGTACTACTGCATTAGATTCAAAAGGCCAATGCTACAACAGAACTGACATTTTGAATTTCAAGCAGTCTCAAAAGGTCATACCAACATTTTAAGCAGAAAGCTGCTCACTGGTGGCTTGTTACATCAAATTCCAGTTCAGATGGGACTTTTAAAATTAATTGTGTAAGTCTTCCAGGAGAATATTTTTGAGATAGAATTACAAGCATTGCTTAAGTTTGCATAGAAGCATTATATTAGGCATATTATCTGGTGTCCTAAATTTTTTTTCTTTGACAATAAGCAAGTTTCTAGTTCTTATACATGTAAAAACAGGCTTGAAAACAGTAACAGCAAGATCTAGTAAAGCTACAGAATCCAGAAGCTTTTATAGTATAAATGGAAACTTTCAGGGCATTCCCATTGTCACATGATCAAAATTCGAGCACTTGGCAGCTGGCATGTAGTGTATTGATGACGGTTGCAGTGTCCCAGGGTCATGGAATCACCTATTTGGACCTTCTGACAACCAAAGTGAATAGGGAATCCAGATTCATTGAACAACCACATTACTAACTTAACTGCAGTGATTCACTTAATAACTATGGCAGTTATTAAAAGGCTGTAAAATGGGACAAAATTCAAAAATTTGGGGCTCAGTTGTGGTCGTAAATTGAGGATTACCTGTATATAGAAAAACAATAGTGACATAACCAAAGAACCAAAACTCTCTTATATTTCTGTTCCTCAGATGGGAATAAATGCAAAATATTTTGTGCCCATTCTAACAATTGCAATGAGACAAAAGTAACTTGTTTTAATTTAATTTCTAAAACAGCTAAATAAAAATCACAAGCTACAGTATATCAGAAACATGGACTAATTCATTCAAAACCAAATGCTACTGAAACATATGACCTGATAATTGGAGTCAGACTGCTCTGGTTAAAACCAATCTTCTAATTTTCATCCATGTGAACGTATGGACAGCTTCCAATCCTCCTTCATGTTTGTTTACAGAGACAACATGGACAACAGCTATTACTTTTTATATAAAGTTCTAGACCGTTATTGATTCTAGTCAGCATAATAGATATTTCTTAAGGGATTTATTTTGAGACTGCTCAATTATATTTAACATTTTTTGGTCCGGAACGAAACTGCGTGGGTTGTTGTTTGAGCTCTGTTCAAATATTTAAGCATCCTAATATTTATTCCAATTATGCCTGCAGTGGGTTTTTCCAAGCACAAGGGAGCCCCAGCAACAAAGCTTCACTAATGTTTCAAAAATTGCAGGGAAGCAGACTAATCAGTTAAGCCTCTGTGAGAAGGAAATAATGTGCATTTACTCGCTTTCTAAACAAAATATTAACTAAATTACAGAATCTCCCAGGACAGGGTGAAGAGGATTTCATTAGAGTTTTCACAGTATATTAAACACATAGTGAACAGGCCATTTATAGATGAATGTGATGTGACACCAACTAACATGATAATAGATTTCAGTGACCCAAGTTTATTGGCAGTTGTATAAACACAATAGTTTACAAGCTACGGATTAAGAAATTGATGTTTTTGCTGTAATCTGAATGTGCCTGATGATTTTTTTTTTTTACAACTTTATAACATCCTAAGAGTATTTTAAGTCCACGGTAATTATGAAAATGAAGGCAAACACAAACAAAAGCAAAACTTGATTTGTCACAGTTATTTAGACATGCTCTGGAATTCACCATGTTGATAGGTATGCATACCAAATAATTTCAGTAGAGCCTTTGGCTTATACTATGGATTTTGCCTCCTTTTCAGGTGCTGCTATTAAGTCATTACATAAATTAATCTGACTTTGAGACAAATTTTAATATTTTCCCAAGTCCATAGTTTTTAAAAACGGTGTACTATAACATGAAAAATTATGACCTTCTCATTAGTCCTTTAACACTGGACAGACAAATTTATGGCCCTTATTACTCAGTGGATTGTAAATGTAAAATTACTTGTGACATATGAATGAGTTGAGTACAGCAGTGTGTTACCTACGG